TGCAAACCTGAAAAATCATTATCATCTAAACAAAAGAAATTGATACAATGGAATACATATGTGAATGAGAAAGTTGATCATGTATTTTATAAGACGTTGAACAAGTATTTGAAGAAACGGTGAAATAAATATTGAAAAATGTTGAACAACAATTTGAAAAAAATGTTGAACAAGTAATTTTGAAAAAATGCTGAAATAAGTACTAGAAAACATTGACCCAGAGATATGAAAAAAATGATGAACAAAAAATTTGAAAATGTTTAATAAGTATTTAAAACTGTTGAACATGTATTAAAAAATCTTGACGAGTGTATGGGAAATGTTAAACTAGAATTTGAAAATTGCTGAATAAAGTAGTTGAAAAGTTGAAGACATACTAAAAAAAATGCGGAACGAATATATAAAAATGTCGACCAAGTATTTTGAAAAAATGTTGAATAAAGTATCAAAGTGTTGAACAAGTTTGTGAAAAATATTGAATAAACGTTTGGACTACGTTGCACGTGTATACCCAAAAATGTTGATCGCTTATTAAAAAATGTTTTTCGCGTATGGAAAGAAGTATAATGAAAAACGAAAGGAAAAAATATTTTTCGCGTATGGGAAGAAGTATAATGAAAAACGAAAGAAAAAATAAATAAAAACCAAGTGAAAAAAGGAGAAAAGCGAAATATAATGTTGAATAAGAGAAACTCGAAGAAAAATAAGAAAACCAAACATGTTGACCGAGTCAATTCCGTGCCGTGTATATGAGGCAGGGACTGTTGCGCGCGTGAACGAGACATGCAGGTGTGCTGCATCTCTTGTGCCTGCTATGCAGCTGTGCTGCACTCGTGTGCCTGCTAGTGTACGTGAGCCAGCAATGATTATTTAATACTAGCAAATACGGGCGCTGTACATTAGACTATTCTATGAATACAGTCGCTATACAGTAGCTTTATGCACGCTGTGCATCGATCACGCCGAGCATTGACGGGGCTGATTCCGGCCTGCAGGGTGCTCGGCCACCAAACACTATTTTCGCCTAGATAGGTAATATTAAAATAGATTCGTTTGAACCCTTAGAAATCGACATAAGTATCCCATATACCCGAGTTCTTCCATTGCTTCTGACTTGTATGTTGATCAAAATTTACAAAATTATCATATTCCATGACATAGTCAGTATAGGACCCTTCAGTTTGTCGCAGGACAGAGAGATAACGATGGAACAAACCCAAGACACAGATCTGCTGGACGAAAACTCTCCGTGGTCACTGTTTCATTACAACTACAATGAGCCTCGAGGGGTAAGAGCAACTCCAACGGGCCGACCCAAACGGACGGTGTTTTTGTTCGCTTTTTGTCCGTTTGGGTCGGCCGTCCGTCTTTTTTAGTTTTGGGTCGGCAGTGCGCCGAACGGGCCGACCCATTTTATGACCGCGTGCGTTTAACATCATGCCATCGCCCTCGTTTTGGCGCTCCAGCGTGCGCGGGGGAAAGCGGCTTAGCGCACGCTGGTTTTGGCGCTTCAGCGCGGGGGAAAGCGGCTTAGCACGCGCTGGTTTTGGCGCTCCAGCGCGCGGGAAAGGTTCGCGCGCGCGCCGCGGCCGGCGCTCGCTATAAAGAAGGCGCTTCCTCCACACTCTGTCGGCCGCCCATTCTCGCCCCCTCTGCGCTGCGCCACCATGTCGATCCATCGCCTGGGCGCTTCGGATTTTTGTGGAGTCCGCGAGCGCCGCTCCAGCGCCTTCTCCGCCGAGATCTGGTTTTGCGAGAAACGTCTCGTCCTCGGCACCTTCGACACTGCAGAGGAGGCGGCCCGCGCGCACGACGCGGCGGCGTGGCGCCTCCTGAGGCCTCGTCGGGATATGAATTTTCCCAACATGTCGAGCCAGCGGGCGCAGGATCTGGCGCCTCTCCCGCGGCTTTTCACCGACGAGGATCGTCGTGTCCACCGGAGGCGGCAGCGTCGCCTCGCCATCGCAGAGAAGGACGTGGAAGCCTTGATGGTGTGGCGCGGAGGCTACCGGCAGGACATCGTCGACGAGCGCCAGTTCTACAAGTAATTGAGATCG